AGACAATACGAGGATGTCAATCATGAAAATGTACAACGACAACAGTCATTACAAAGTTTTTGTAAAGGTAACTGAAATTCAAAACCAGATTACAATTAACTGACACCAAAATGAAGCAAAAATTTGTTTCAAAATTACAAGAAGTCTTGCTCTGGAAGTATAAAGCTAGGATTTTCACACACACACCTATTAAGTGACGCCTCGTTTCTGAGTAAAGACATAACGTTCGTTGTGCCTAAATCATTATAAGAGTTCAATTCCTCTAATTTTTGAGGGAAGTTACGTAATAGTGATGTTTCTTCTGGATGATGTTTTCTGCTCATTTATTACGGTTGTCATGAATTAGATGGAGAGAAATGAAGACAGTGTTAGTCGTTTCGATATGGTATCAATATATAACACACTGCACTGACACAATGATAAATGAAACAGAAACAAGCACACAGTACTGGAGAATAACAGACACTTTTGCTCTGATACTTTCTATTATTTCTAAGTAGTTTCTGTCATCAACACTGAAAAATAAACAGCTGTTTCGTTTCCGCGATAGGATTCTTCATCAGTCGATATCTACGACCGTATGTGAAATGATGTCCAAGGACATCAAACCTCACGATTACTTCTTGGCCACTATACAGAAAAACAGTGGCTGGTTATCTTCATGCTAGAAATGAACAAACTAATCAATCACTGTATGACCAGCATGAAAAGAAAGATTTCTTACCACCTGTGGTACATGACTAAGTATAACCCTCCATCTTGGGGGCAATATCTTCTAGATTAATGTACACAGATGGATCTGATAAGACTCTTTGCATTTTTACCAGCCATATTAGGAAATATTGTTTAGTGTACTTTGAAATGTCATTTGGAAAATGCCTGATACTCAGGAATACACTTTAGGTTTAATCAATTTGCTATTTCAAACTTATTGAAAGGTGTACAAGATAGCTTAAACACATCTGTGAAGTATTTGTTAGTTGACTATCTTAGCAGACCACATCATTTTCTCTGTTCTAAGCCGGCTTTAAGTGATGTAGATTCATTTTATTTTTAAATACACACACCTGCAAGCTGCATTACTGCTCACAGAGACTAGCCTAAATATCTCAATCTTAATATGTTTAACTGTAACACCAAATGACTGTCAGTACTCAGAATTTTGAGGGGATCATAAGTTTCTAAATTCCCAGATGTCGCATAATTTGTCAACTTGTACGATCTTCCATGCATAGCATGCTATTGTGATACCACACAAAAATGGTGCTTATACTACACACAAATTACCGGTTTTCCCCTATTTTAGTATTGGTTCAAGTAGTCATAATAATAACAACAGTAAATACACAGTGTTACGCAGAAAGTTTAGCCCGGTCAATAAAGTTGCGAATTTTCAATAGTTAATGTGATCAGGACGCTTTTTATGCACACGAAGCCATAGATTATGTCAACTAACACTTTTGGTTGAAGTAAGATCAGGTCAGAAAGCATTAAGAGGTGATCAAATCAAATAATGGCTTCAATCCTTGAACTCATTAACTATTGGTCTGAGCCATGTATGGAAGTGACTTGGCTAAGGTGCTTAGAAAGCTGATAATCAATGGTCTGAGACCATTGGTGACATGCCTCGAAATTATTCACATGGCTCAGATGTACTCATTGTTTGCAATCGATATTTTGGATGCCTTCAATAATCTTCACTACATTTTCATTGCCCTTGATATAAGAATAAAACTTGGGCACTGTGGTAGAATGTAATTCCATAAAGGGTAAATTTTTATTTTGATACAGTCTCACAGTGTTTTACAGTAATATTTACTGATGACGTTTCGAGCACAATTTATTGCTCATAATCATATCAAGGTAATCACACGACTTCCTAAATTCATTTATATTTCCAAATATAAATGAATTTAGGAAGTCGTGTGATTACCTTGATATGATTATGAGCAATAAATTGTGCTCGAAACGTCATCAGTAAATATTACTGTATAACACTGTGAGACTGTATCAAAATAAAAATTTACCCATTATGGAATTTTCATTGCCCCTTCACTAATTCATCCACCGTGGCACCACAAAGTATATATATACGTTTGAGTGATTTCTGAAATGTGGTAACCTAAACAGATGCACATCTACACTGATCTTTGCATCAATTTTTCTGTCAGTCAGTTTTCTGTTGTTGGTTGCAAGTGACCTAAATAATCGATCGCTGATTATATCTGTGTTTCTAGGATGGACTAGTCAACTCTATCTTTAGATTCAATATGATGTCAAGTGATTGATGTTAATTAGCTGTCATTGGAGTACAAGGTACATATTGCGTGTTATTTGGAACTCTCCATTTGATATACTTGTATCACACTGTCTCAGCCACAAGTTTTAACTGATGCCTGAATGTCCACATTACTGAAGTAACCTTCAACTAAATCAATCGCTACTATACAAAGAAAGCATTAATAATCATTCTTTCTCTTCTTTTTTTAGTGACTTTTATTCACCTACTTATTGTTTCCGAAGTGTGATTAATTAGGCTGTACCAACTAAACGAAATGACATGAAGTAATGAGTGTCAGTGTGCGTGTATGTAACGATTAAGTAACAATTTTAAACGAACGTCTGTACTCATTTAATATAACTAAGAGGAGGCAGAAGAACAGAAAAAGCTCCAAAGGTATATTTCACATTAAACAATAAAAATAATTACTACAGTTTATAACAAGAATATGAAAATAATGATTCATCTGTAGAAGCATACTTGAGCTATAACATTGCAGTACAACCATATTTCGAATTATCTCTAAACATAAGCATAGTAAATCTTTAAATCAATAAGGAAGCAGAAAGCTTTAATTAAATGTAAACATCACTCCCCCCCCCCCATTGGCATACAAGACTAAAAATGGATAGTTTCTCTCCATATATGAGCCTTTTATACAGATGCCTTCACATCTAGTGTAATTATGCCGTGAGCGTACAATTAATGAGGACTAGTTATAGTATGTAGTATGTGAGTCCTACCAAATGAATTTAGGTCGTTCAACGTTCCTGTTGAGACTTGAACGGATGGTAGGCGATTCCATTCTTGGTAGGAACATCGGTGCAAACAAATCCAGTCGATGAATAATAAGAATGGGTATCAACATGAACCATGAATGTCACTACTGATTATTACTAGAAGATCACGAGAATTTTCTGATTACTACCCTGAGATTAAGACAATAGTAAGCATTCAAAAAAAGACAGATAAAGCTGCTGAACTCAGTTTAATTATTGTCTCTACCTTTAAGGAGTACTCATGCTTATGTGGAAAAAACTGTAAATTATTTTTAAATAGTGGGAATAATTTTTCAACTGATCAAGAACAACAAAGCTGAGCGGGATAACAAGATGGTGACCACTAATGTTACAACTGAATACACTAAAATTTCAGATGAAATAACTTCAGGTATCAGTACGCTTGTTAGTATAGTTGGAAAAGTTCCGAGAATATTCTAGAATCAAGGACGGAAGTTGGACATTAGTTAGGTGTGTGGAAAAAACAGGAAAATCAGTAATACATTTTACGTAAGAGTTCTACGTGTTAAGGATTAGAAGTGACTGAGATAACAGTCTGTTTAATAGAGATCAAATGGTCAGGTCAAGACAAAAAAATAAAACTAGGAGTATATTGTCAAAATCAATTGAAGTAACAGAACAGAAAAAGTTAAAGGGTTCATATTATGGTTGGAAAAGGTTGACGACTATCCCTTTCTGAATGTATAAGTTGGATTTTAACCGTCGACTCACTGTGGCTTCTAAGATACTTAGTACATTGGTGCTAAGTTGTACATTAGTTATATTAAATGATTTTAACTGATCCCATTTTGGGACCACACACCTAGTAAATTAACGACGCTCTGCTACCAGTACGTCGGTGGTTTAGTGGTAGAATACTCGCCAACCACGCCACACATGTCCCAGAGTTGAATCCCTTGCCAACGCTCTCCTAACCTTGCCTAGTAGGAACAAGAAGAAGAACAAGATTCGGATTTTCAACACCAATGTTAAGTTAGTTTGTTCTTCTACATGGCTCAGAGACTTAGCTCAAGCGTCATCAATAAAATTTCCTACAGACCCCACACTTTCATCAACACCTGCCTTCGCTGGCGCCATACTGAAGATCAGAAAGAATTAGTAACAAGAAACTCTAGGAACGAACCAATCAAGAACCCATTGCTCAATAAATATTCCGACGAAGTTGAGATGGATAGGACACACACTGAGGAGACCGCTGGATGACATCACATGCCTGACTATCACTCGAGTGGAACCCAAATTGGAAATAACGAGTTGGCCGTGGGTCCGAGGGCAACATGGAGGAGATTGTATGTGGAGGAAATGAAAGCTTATGGGGCACTTGTGGGGCCAGCTAAAGAAGAATGTGGAGAACAGGACAAAATGGAGATGTGCTGTTGAAGCACCCTGATCCACTTGGAATCCAAGGCAATAATAATAATGCATTTTGATTGGTCCTCAAACTCCAGTTGTTCATTGCTCGAAGGAAACGACGAAATTATATCACTGACTTTCGCTTAAGATGGAGCAGCGCTGCTTCACGTGAGGCACCGTCTACTAATATTTTACTTGAAGATCTCGGACAAAGTGAAAACATTAGGCAATGAAGTGCGTTGAGAATTCTGTAGATTGTGAAAACATTTTATTCAAAAGACAGCTATTATTATATTAAAACGACAGAGGTGACTAAGATCGTACCACAGAACGGAATTAATTTCTTTTAACTATAAATAATAAAATATTTGAACGTGACATCACTAATAACGGTAAAAAGTCAAGCTGACTTATAGCTTTTTGAAATAACCTACTTAACAATGAGATCTGAATCTCGTGATTAGAAACATGACATAACTCCAACTGTTCAAATGAGTACTTATATTCAGTATTTTATTGAACAGCTTATTTTCTTCAGATATGCTATTTCTGCTTAATTGTTTTAGGGAATCAGAATACCTATTCAATATTATAGCACTACTGGGAGAATTCTTCTTGTTCATGTTTCACTTACATGGAAGAAGTCCATTAGATATTTACCTTCACTTACTTCTAGCTGGAATGATTGTATTAGCTGTTGGAATATCATTGGCAGAATTAATGGCACCTCGTGAACCTGTCTATGGTTTAATGCGTAGTTGGACTTATCTCATGCAAGGGACATGGTTTTGGCAAGTAAGTAATTAGTTTAATTTTTTTGTAGTTTATTTTTTTGTGTGAGATTCCTTTATCTATCTGCTTTTACTCTTAACTACCTTTAACTAATCAAATCTCTATGTTTGCCCATGAAGTGAAGAATTTCCGGTCACTAAACAGTAGGGTAATTGATTTTTTCTTGCTTTGCAGCTAACTGTAGTCAGACAAAACACAGGTCCCCGGAAACTGTTGATACACTGCACTTTTATTCACTTCATCATACTTTTTATTTAATTTATAAACTTTTAATTACACTATTATTGCGGTCAAGTCCATCATTTGCAATTTACACATTCCGATGTGAGAATTCAACACAGTTACCTTTAGGAGACATTAATTATTCAGAAGACTCTGTGTGATTTGTATGATACTATAAATGGAGATTGAGACCTCAAGCAAAACAGCATGATGTAAGATACGAATTTATATTCAGTGAATATATCATTATACACTGTCATGCTTAATAATGACAGCAATAATGAGTATGTTAGCCTTCTGAAAAACGAAGTCAGTGTGAGATATCAAGCTGTACTGTGGTGGTCCAATGGTAGAATGCTCACCAACTAAACGAGTGGTACGCTTTTGATCCTTGGTCGACCCACTCCTATGCCTCGCTTAGTTTATTGACCAACAATTAGCACAGTTTTGTGTTCGCAAGTGTTCAGCATCATGAGAAAATAGATGTTATCTTCAAAAACTGAAGCTGAAAAATGAAGCTACATCCCTCTTATTGTAACGAGAAAATATGAAGCTTAAGCTTAAAGCTTTCTAATTTCAAATGTTAGATTTCGTTACGAACCAACATCAGTTAGAGACATCATTGGAACCTAAGCAGAATCGTACCGCTGTTACATGCTATATTGGACCTCTTTATCAGTGCGCACCCATGACTCCACTACAAATCAACCCAGGACCTTTAGGTTACGAGAACAAGCTGGCTTACTACTCAGTCAATCGGGCAGGACTTCAGTGACCCTACTTTTCAATGATCTCTCTTACTAGCGTTGGCTCGTGACGAAATCCAATCTCATCCACGTCACTGTCGGATCCACGTCCTGCTCGTTATTTTCGATTCGGGTTCAACTCAACAGCCTGGTGCACGATGTCACCCGACGGTCTCCTCAGTGTGTGTCCGATCCATTTCCGTCTTCTTTGACATATTTGTTGAGCAATAGGTTCTTGATTCGTTCGTTCCTAGAGTTTCCTGTTACTCATTGTTTCTGGTCTGCTGTCTGATCTTTAGTATGGAACCAGAGAAGGCAGTCATTGAGTAAATTCCTCAGTTTGTTGTAAATGATTTTTGTGACTCACCAAAGCAACTGAAATTTAATCATTACAAATCTCTGTAAATCCCATAATCTAAATATTAAAGCTTTTATCATTTGAAACTAACATCTAAATAAAATAAAGTTATATATAACGCACAAAATTATCGCATTACATATTTCAATGCACTAAATTACCAGATTTCTCCCTATAATTAGGATTAGAAGGCTTCATTGGTTACGATAGCTTGATAAATTTCGATAGTTAAGGTTCATTTCTGGTTAAATTTGTTTATTGTTTCTATTAATTTTTGTTTGCGTTGTGAGGGTGACGTCTTTTCTTGTAGGTAAGCGATAAAAACATAATAAAGCAGAACAGCACTATCAGATGAACAGATTTGTAGTACACCATCTAGAAGTAGATGGTTTTAGAAGGCTGTTGTAATGCACAGTTTAAATATGATAAAAGCTCTGAATAAAATTTATATTTCCAGTCAAAATATTCAGTCTGGTTATGATTTCGTTAGATTTATTCATTCAGTATGATTGATATGTATCCTTTTCTTTGCTGACTGACATGCTGACTGGACTAGTATTAAAAAGGGTATAATTCCCAATGAAACCCACATTTGGAAATTAATCTAGCGCTTACTGGTAATTGATTACAGAATGAAGTCGCCTGATGTTCCAGTAGGACCCACTGAGTTGCGCTTGAGGTCAGATACTGATTGATGATAATCGTTGGTAGTCACCTTGATCGCGAAATGATAGAAGTTAGAATTTATGGGCCATTAGATCCTGTCCCAGTGGCTGAGTGAGCAGTCTGAAGGTCTTGGGTTCGATTCTTGGTGGTTGGGTCACGGATGTGTACTGCTTAATAGTCCCAAACAGGGACCAAACAGCTGTCTATTACTCTCTGGGTTTTAATGGTTCTCTAAATGAAGTCAGTTAGTGATCGGACTTAAAACCTCAAAGCATATCGGAAAACTATCAACTTCTGTCTTATGCACGGATACAGGTTAGTAGTCATACTCTCTCAGTTAAAATCGAGAATAATTTAAAACAGCCTAATTCGACTTTACTCATTTTTAACTACAAAAGAGGTGGCAAAGTGAAGGAAAAAGTAAGATATACCAGGGGAAGAACAAAGAGTGTGAATAAAAATTAAGTCATTAAGAAAACTGAATACTCTTTCTTCCCTTAGACAGGAATAATAACTCTTTAGCAGAAAGGCACATGGTTTTGCATGTCCTAAAAATCGCTTGTTATTCTGCTTATTCATAATTCAAAATAGTCTTTATTAACACTAATATTATTACTGAACTTAAACAACATTTAACCCGACTTCTTGGGATTTCTTTAAGAGAAAATGATAACCAATGACAACACTCTTTCGCCACATGGGATAATAGACATCTTTCCAGATGCTCCTCCCCGCGAATAAATACTTCCACGAAGAAATATGAATTAGCGGGCGTAGATGGGTATACCAAAATACCCTAACCCATCTATCGATCAGCCAACCTATCACCACAATAAAGTATTCATGAGTAAAAATTCTTCGGGACGCGTAAGTCATGCCTTTAATTCAAGTTAGGTTACGGATTTACATTAATTAGAGAACCACTTAAAACCAGGAAGTATTCGACAGCTATGTCGTCCTATTTTGAAGCTCTTCATCAGTACGCACTCATAGACCCACCCCCAAGTCTCGAACTCAGGACCTTTAGATTACGACGTAAACCCACTGAACACCAAACTACTGGGAAGGGATTCCATAACCCAAATGTAAACTTCTGTCATTTCACAATTTCATGGCACCACCTCCAGACGGCCTACAGGATGACTTTACCAGGAGTCCAAGTGAGAAGTTGTTACCAGAGGGTCCACCAGGTAGGGTGTTAGAACAAATAATCACTGGTGACATTGGCTAGCGATGGGGCTTTATATCGTGAATTGCTAATAGATTCCATCCCATTGACCTAACTGTTGACATGTTCGCCTCATAAGCTAACTGTAGTGGTTTCGATTCTCGGTGGGCACGCGGGTGCGTACTGTGAAGAACCCTGAACACGGACAAAACAGCTGTCCAGTACGGCCTGGTTTCCAACAGTCCTGTAACTAGTGTCTATCCATGATTCAACTTAAAATCAATTAAGTCCTTGCAAACAAACACTTAGAAAGTAATATACTCAATTATTTTATGTTCATTTTCTGGAAAAAATAGATATAATCAGATTACAAGTGAACGTTATGCACATCTAGATAACTTTTACACATATAAGCTGCAGTGAAAATGATGTATGTTTAAATAAATTTATTCAGCGTCCAATGCCAATACTTAGTTTAGTTGTCTCAATCATAATATAAATTAGATTTATTGATTTTGTGCAGCATATATATATATATATGAGTCAGTAGTAAATGCATAATAAATAAACTAGTTGTCTTTATCCAGAAATAAAGTTAACATAAACAGAATGATAAAGAAAACAAAGGACAACAATAGTCATAACAATAGTAACCTGTTACTAAGGTGATATGTGAACTCAAGCATATACCAACTATTCAGTTATTGATCAATGAATAGAAAAGAATATTGTCAACAATTTCTTCATATTTTAATTAATTACTGTTGTTTCAAAAGATGGTAAACTGGCCAATCAACGTCAAATGTATTCACCGAAGATTTTGTTGTTTAAATAAACTGATAGTGAAGGACACTGAAATGGTTAGGATGACATTGTTGATTAATTCGCGGACAACTGGGCATTAAGACATCTTTATTTCACTTCTATGATGGCCACATTCCCGATTTACAGGAAGTAATTGAGTTTTATGCATATGAATCTAACAGATATCTGGGCAATGTTAGGCACCAAACAGATGTCAACATACGAGTGACTTTAGTCCTTTATCTCAACTCCAACCCTGATGTATCCCTTACTCAAGCCAAATCTATCCTTAAACAACTCTAGTTCCTCCCTAATTAGATTAACCTGACCCCAACATGTCCCCAGCCTAAACCTAACCTTAATCTTTCCCTAGCGTAACCTAAAACTAATCACATACCCTGCATAATATGATTACACTTCATTCATTGGTTTTTTCAAGAATAAAGTACTATCTACCTAATTGCATTACCTTGCTGGTTGACGGTTTCAAGGATATTGGTGCACTGGAGAATGTTGAGCTTCTAAAGTTTAACTTTGTCGGCACCCGCAGTAGCTAAACATCCACCTACTACTAATATTTTATTAGATGAAACTATATGATTACATACCTTGACTTAAGTACTTCACTTTCAACTAATGTCTTCGTCAAATGGTGCATGGAATGTACCTAGATTAACTAAATTTTTAGTTTATTCATAATCATTTGAATAACTTAATAACTATCCAAGAATGCAAACAGATATGACCTGAGAATTCTTGTTTTGCTCCATCCATTTACACCTTGAAATTCATATTTTACCTGTCATGTATCATCATGAGTAAAGTCTGGCTCTGAACTTAGTGTATAAATTTTTTTACGGGATAATTGTTTCCCCTACATTTCTCATTTAAGGATAAATAATAGTTAGTTGACACTGATTAGATTAACAGTAGAAAGGCATCAGTTATCTTAGATTGCCTGAATTAAATTTATGAATAGCTGAGGGTAATATCGTATGATAAGACTACATCCAGAACGGCTGAGTCCGTCCAGATTCGA